CCTTTATCCCAGCCAACAACTTTTTTTTCATATTCCTAAATTTACAGAATGCACATTTGTTATTGACCTTACCTGGCATCAATTTTGTCATTTTTAACAAAGCAAACTCACAGTACCTTGAAGGAAAACAATAACTGCATTGGCAATGTACAATATTTTTCTTTTTTTTTACCTTCTCTCTCTCTTCTCTTCATCTAAAGTGTGTTTGTTGCACAGTCCTCACATCATCATGTTACCTTAAAGCAGGGGTCACTAATAGGACCCAGATGTCGTTGTATCCAGACCTGGACCTACATCCTATAGATTAGTGAGAATTATTAAATTTTGAGAGTGTTTCTATTTTAACCTGTGCAGCTTTTTTAGCCTTTACTGCACAGTCAGTACACTCAGTCAATATTTGCACCTGGAGTCAGTGAGTGAACACACAGGGGAAAGACAACAGACAACGTTGGAGAAATAAGTGGAGAAAGTGAGATATAAGTGAGAAACAAAGAGAGAAGGTTCAATTATAAAGATGTGGTGAGATTGTTTATTATAAAAATGGGTGAGACTGAAGCTAATTAGCTAATAGAATTAGCCTGAAATTTAGAATTAGCTAAAACTTTAATGATGTTGGAGCTTGAATTTCACAAAAGACATTGACATGTTATTATATTTTCTTTTAAAAGCCGCATCTCGAACTAACTGGCTAATTCCTGCTGCAGTCTATTTGGTTTGCATAATGTCCGCCTGGCCACTTGAGGGCAGCGTAACAAGCATATACGTTTTATAAACATAAAGGTGTTATGTTAGCAAGCAGTTGCTTATTTACACATCCAAAAGACACAACGCAACATTAGCAATTATTAGGAGTTATTCAGCTCTTTCAGTTCTGTTTTGGTCTCCACCAAATCTCGCAAATGTTAAGAATACAAATGAATGAAAATAAGCAAATTTAATAAATAACTGGGCTCTTAAGAGAGGTCAAACAAATAGAAATCTCCTTAAAAAACTTCTACTAATAACAGGACCTTAACTCAACTAACTGACCAAACAAAATCAGACAGGAGAGAGACATATACACTGGTTGATCAGGTCATTGAAACAACCATAAAATACCATATTTATATTTCAATTGTGTGGCTGTGGATACGGCCATCACAACCACAAAAGAAGACATACAATAGTTATTAGATAGAGTTACCTGAATTACCTGAATTGATTGACTGATTTAATTTATTGATTTACTGAGTCAGGCTACTGGCTATAAAACATATTAACCCACAAAGACATTTAATATTCAATATTCACTTATTGAAAGTTGTAATAAATAACTGTGTCCTGAGTTCTGATCCAGAGAAACAGACTTCTTAATATTACTGCCAAGTAGCATTTCACTGCCTCTGGCCTGTAAGCAGGAGCTCCAGTCTTTTTCTAACTGTAAGGGGGAAGAAGTAGAGCAGTCAGGCCAGCTTCCAGCTGGTACTGGGATTGGACACCAATGTCTATAACGTACTGTGAACTACAAGTCAATAAGCGACGTGCATGGCAAGAGGCAAAAGATCCCTTGATGGGGAAAAAATGAAAAAGGGAAATGAGACAAAAAAGGATGACAGTTTGCTGAAGGCAACAGAAAGCATTAAACAATGAGATGTTTAATGGTACTAAAGGCGTAACCTTGGCTTGGAGACAAACAACATTAAAAATGTACCATCAACGGGGACAACAAGGACATCGCTAAAGGCAACTGTTACAAACGGGTCATTTATAGGGACGTTTTTACGAAGTCAGGGAAGTTAGTATGCCAATCTGTCTACAATATAACCCTTAAAAGCATAGAGCGAGAGATGAAATGTTTTCAATTTCAGAGTCTTTTGCAGCTAAACTAGAGTGAGATGTGACCAAAGAAGGTTTAAACTCAACCCTGACATGTTACATACTTGACAGATATGATTTGGAGCTGAGACGTTGTCAGTCCAAGGGAGGTTTTGGAAATAAATTGAACCAATGAATTTTCCAGTGAGAGTGCCAGTTAGCTAACGCACACAGTCACAGAGGGGTGTTATGTTGGCAGCACTCGTGATGGACTTGATAGTTGAGTGGAACAAAATATCAGGACGCTCAGAAGCATCCTGCAGACTACCTTCTCGATTCAAGCTTACAGTGTTGGTACAGACAGGAAGTATGATGTATGTACTGTATGGGTATGGGATGCACCAAAGACCTGACCAGGGGTCATATGTTACGCGTCCTAACAACTACAACAGACACTCACGCTTTCACTGTCTTCCAGTGTCTCCAACATGGAAAAATTTGGTAGAAAATTAAATTATCACTCAAAATGAACAAAATAAACTATCATCACACATTTACTTTGTGACCATTTGAACAGAAATACGCACTGTCTCTCTCAATATTTCATTTTTAGTAAACATTTCAATGTTTTTGAAGTAAAATTGGGATATTTTCGTGACCAACAGCAACCCAAAGTATTTGACAACTTCAAAGAGCTGCACAGCTCCAAGTTATTACTCTGAGCGATGAGCTTGTTCAGATGACTAATTGTTCTTACTTGATGTGAATACATCATCAGCTGCATTAGTATCCTGGTACCTTCAAACACAATTATAACTCGCAAAGCAAGGCAGGAAAGGATAATTAAATATGAAATTCATTTTAACCATCTCCCTGTTGGAATTTAGTATAATTTGTCATGTATTTTCTTTTGAGTTTTCGATGACAGGAAAAACAAGTTTGTCTCATGATGTGCTTGGTCTCTTGTGATAGGTGTGTGTACCCAGTCTTTGTAATTTGAGGGTTATTGTTTTTAAGATGATTTTTTGCATTCTGTTTTTGTTCCACCGCGGACAGCAGAGAGACAGAATGGAAATGAGGAGAGAGAAAAAATTTGATATGCAACAAAGATCCTCAACTGGAACTTTTTCAGTCTAGACCTTGGAGCAGAAAGAATGAAATTGTGGACTTCAGGGAATGGACCAGCACATAAAGGTCTAAAAATACTGAGAGATGTAGGTTGGGGCCAGCAGCATATCAATCAATCAGTCCTAAAACTAACTGGCAGCCAGTGCAAAGATACAAGAATAGGTGTGATGTCCTCAGACAGAGGAAATTGAGTTACAGTAAGGTCCAATGAAATGAAGGCATGAATGTACTAAATTTCTAGTCTTATGGTGGATGGGAATGGCTTGTTTTGCAAGATTAAGCTGAAACAAGAAACAAGACTCAACAGGACACAACTGAATTTATAGTGAAACTGAGTTTTCTGTCAAATAAAAGAGATTTCTACATTGCTGAATGAAATGGTGGGAGTTAGGACCAAGTTCCTCAATGATTTCAGGGTTAATAACATCTGCACCAAATGGAAGTATTTGATGGGATTAGTTGTAAAAAATTAACAGCCATCCAATTTTTGGATGTCCTCAAGGCAGTTCAAAAAGGAGAGAGTCTCCCGACTAAAATATGATTAAACTTGTTGGGGTCACTGCTAAAATAGATTCGGGTATTGTCTGTGTAACAGTGGAAACAATGTGTGCTCTTAAAAGATGTCCTAGAGATAGCATGTAGAATGAAAATAAAGTTGGACTGCATGCATGCTCATTTCGGATTGAATAATTAACTGAGAGGGAGCAAGCCAGTGATTTAGCATTGCACTTTTCTTAAAATATGTGGGGAATATATGTTTCTGTAGAATTCTGCAGGAATTAGTCCTAAAACCTTGAAATTATTTAGCATTTTAGCCATTCTGGTTCGTCATCCCGAAGTCAATGGGTTTTTGTTTTAATGCCTGAAATAAGGTCTGTGGTTAACACAAACTCAAATCATTTTCACTTTTTATTCTATGAAATGAAATGCACCAGTAAATACCCGAGTTGTGATTTATTTAAGCTTTTACGTCTCTTAAAAAAGGCTGGTTGCTAACAAGTGGCTAAATGAGACTAAAGAGGTTGTCCACTCACCAGTCCACCTTTTACAGCCTCGTTGTGTTTAAACTGGCGCTCTTGCCAAGAGCTAAATCAAACTGCAAGTTGGAAGTTTAGTAGTGGTGACGTTGTAGTCACATGACTGTGGCGTAGTTCGTGTAAAGCCTAACATTCGCTTTTTACTTCTAGTCATTGTATTTAGACTTCTAAAATCACAAGTCAGTGTACTGAACTGAAAACGTGTAGTCATCATAAACTGTTTGTCACGCAGCTTGTTTTCTGCAGTAATCCGAAAACCAATGTAAAAATCCCATTAGCTTTTTGTCGAGGTGATGCTAACTTCCGGATAGTGCTCCCCATCACAACTACTCTTCATGTATAAATTCAGTGGAGTGTCCCTTTAAATCCTTATGAAAACTAATGTAAAAGTTCATGAACTCTTCTATTCATCAAAAGGAATGGTGAAAACATTTCTTTGTTTGATGGTGGTCTTGAATAACATCAGGCACAGTAAAGCCTCATTCCTCTGTACAAGCGTTCCTTGTTAGCACCTTCTCCATGCAGCGTCCCTTTGGCTCCCTCTGGCGGTGGCTTCACCTCACAGCGACAAAGACTGATTGTCTACCGTTAAACCTTGAATGAAAAACACCGGGAGAAGCCCAGACCCGGTGTTTCACAAAGGGTCATATCTGAAGTAACCCGTTCATTTGGGCTGATATTTATACCGCAGGAAGGAAACGAGGGGGCACTTCAACACCCCCATCACCATCACTCTACACTCACTCAAGGACGCGCCCCTCAATACACATTTTGCAGGAGAGAGAGAGAGAGAGCGAGAGAGCGAGAGAGCGAGAGAGAGAGAGATGCAGGTATTAAGTGGAGGTGGGGAGGGGGACACAGTCGCTGCTGGCCGTTGGGACAGCGAAAGGACAGGAGGGGATGTGTTGTTGTGCTGATGGCTCTCCTCCCTCTTCCTCCTATAAGAAGTCGCCTCTTATTCCAAACGGAGACGCAGGTGTAACCTCCTCATCCTCCCTCCGCCCTGCTACTACTACTACTGGGCAACCTCTTTTTTTTTTTTTCTTTTTTCTTTCTTTAAACAATTTTCCATGCGCCGCGCCTCTTCTTTCAAGTCAGCAGAGGGTGATTTTACGCGCCGGAGTGGGAAGAATAACATCATGTTAGATGAAATGTGGTGCGTCTCTTTTGTGCGCCGTCTGTTACCGCCGTTGTGAATGTGATGCCGGGTCTGCAGTCAAACACAGATGACTTGAACCGGGCGGCACAGGCGGTTGCAACTACAGCACTTGTTCCATAAAGAGAAGACTTATTGATAACCATGGCTGACCAGGTAAGGCGACGCATATTTTCCACCCCCCTCTTGAACCCACCTCGTGCGCTCCCTCACAATAGCCTGGACTACACACGCACACAGTATACAGGCTACACACGCACACACACACACACACCCTCTAATGTGTATCTGAGGGGATAGCACGAGATCTAATCGTTGTTTTCATCGTACACTTTGGTTTTCTCCAGGTCTGTGTGTGAGGGAATTCAGTGAATTCTTTACTCTCAGGAGATGATTGTTGAATATTAGCACAGGGACTTCCTGTGTGTCCGTGCTCCTCAGTGACTTTATAGTAAACTTCATATGCCTGTATTTTTACGCTTTATATATTGGTTTTTCAGTGATACGAGATGGTTCCGTGATGTTTGTGCAGTATTCTTGTAAAAGCTTAGCCACGGTTACAGTTCTTAAAGGTGGTAAATCCATCAAGCTGTCTCTCTCTCTCTCTCTCTTTCTCTCTCTATCTTTCTCTCTCTCTCTCTCCTTCTCTTTCTCTCGGTGAAACATATTATGTTCCTCGTGGATTAGCCTATTTCATACACGTATACTCGCAGCTGAAGTATAATGAGCCGCACAGTGGAATAATCTAAAGTACACTAGATTCAACTACGGCTGGTAAATAAGCAGCAGTAGTCGGTGTAATTGGGCTGCACAGACGGAAGAATGAAAACATTGCCTGTAGTATTAATTTTGTATTGTGCACTGTTGTTTGCCCTAGTTTCTCGACAGCCTGGCGAGAGAAAGAGATTAACCCCTGACATACTGGCTCAGCCCGCGGTCAGTCTCCTGTCTCTGCATGTAAAGCTCCCCTGAGCACACACGATCACAATAAAGGCCACGCTTAATTAATTAACTCGTTCAATTAACCTAACTGAGCTACCTGAGTGAACCAGTGTGAATGATATATGTGTGTGTGTGTGTGTGTGTGTGTGTGTGTGTGTGTGTGTGTACATAGGCCTTACTGTGTCACAAGCAGCCACACCTCAACTGCATGAAAAATAATTGTGATACTGTGCTAGAGCATATTGTCCTACTATACTATACAAAACTATACTATACTATAATATAGTATACCATACCATGTCATACTATATATACTATACTATGGATACTTCATTGTACTTCATTACACTACATGATACAATACTATATAATACTCTACTACACCTAAATATACTACACTGTACAACCTTATAGTACACCACATTACATAACCATATGTTGCAATATACTGTACATTACATTTAACTATACTATAATATATTACACAAACTTACTATACTACACTATGTATATACTATACTGTACTTCATTTCATTATATCATACCAAAATTACATTACACAACACTACACTATACAACACTAGACTATACTATATTTCAGTTATTCACATTACACTGCAAAATATTGTACGACACTGGATTACACTATACAGTATTATACCATACTGAACTACACTATACAGAACATCACATTATATAACACTATACTGAACTATACTATATTATACTATGCTATACAATACTATTTGATGCTCAATACTAGTATTAGGCATCCGTTCGCCAGGGCTGGATTTGCGCCTGAAGGGCCGTTAGTTTTTGTTGCAGCGGTGATCATAAAAACTGCACATTATACTGGACTCTACTGTACTATAATGTACTGTGCTTAAAGCGTACTATTCTTCTGCTCCATATATATTACAGTATTTAATGGTGTCGATGCAGCATTGGTAATCTCATTACAGTATTTAAAGGTTGTTGTGAAAACAAGGCAAAACCATCTATCCTGCTTAGGTACACCTGTACAATTTAACAATCGAGTGCAATCCAATACAACAGCCCTGCAGTGAACTTTGTGAAACTTCTAATCCTCAGGTTTTGTTGACAGTGTGTCAGTGAGGCATTGATTCAGCTCATTGTAATTTGTGAGACTTTCTGTGGTGGTGCTTAATTGGATTGTATTGTACTCTAATATGTTCCTGTTATTGTGTCAATCCCCTTTAATTAAGCGCCAAGACTGTACTTAGCTTGTCCAGGCAGACAGTGGGCTGCAGACGCCTTGGGGTGTCACTGGAGCTAGATTAATTGGTGTATTAATATTGATGAGGGCCGTCTATGGTTGACCTGCTACGGCTGCAAACACACGCACTGTTATGCACATGCATGCGCACAGTTACCCCCACAAACACAAACGCACACACACTTTTCTCAGCCACATTATTGTTCTGGAGAAAACCGCTGACAACCTCCTTTACAGCTTTACTTTTTTTATTTTTATTTTTAATAACTAGGGATGGAGATCAAGACTTAATGTTTGTGACCTATTTGTTTGTGAACTCATGCAGTACACACCGTACAGTATACAGCCATCTAACCGCTATTATGCCCTTATTACACACAGCTGCAGCCTGTTTTCCTGTCCCTCCCTTGTGTTCCTTTCTCCACACACACACACACACACACACACACACACACACACACACACACACACACACCTCCTCCTCCTCTCTTTCTCTTGTCTTCTCCTCTCTCTCTCTCGGTGTCCATATCTACCTGCTGTCTTTTAGCATCCTCTTATCTTCTGCCATCCTTTCAGCAGCTCCTTCTGTCCTGTGTCTCCCTCACCCCCCCCCACACACACACACACACACACACACCGCCGCCACCCCCCCCCCCCTCCTCTCGCAGGTTTCCCTTTGACACGCTCTGCGTCTTCATCATCATCTTTCTCTCACACTGCCACTTATCTGTCTCACCTCCATTGTAATCACCTCCCTCCTCTTTACATACATAGGCACACACAGCGGAAACACCCTTCCCCCCCATTCTCCAGTGATAACATTTACCAGAACAGTGTTACAGGTAGATCTGCAGCCTGTTTTGGACATTTGGACTATTTTAAAGTACAGCAAGCAACAATGCTGTACGTGTGCTGCCCAGTGGCTCCATTGTGCACTTACACATCTGTCTTTTTTTCATTGTAGTACAGTATGTTTCTCACCACGGCACCCCCCCTCCGGCGAGGGAGCACACCCCTGCCTGTCAAACACCAGCTGCGGAGGGAAGAGGCCGTATCTGAGGACTGCGATTGGATCCCGGGCTTGGAAGAACCTGCCACGTTGCCTATTAGTGACACAGCGGTGCCTCGGGATGAGTCCTTCAGTCAGTCGGCGGTCGCCCAGGCGGCTTACCACAGCCATGGCGGGGCTTTGAGAATAGTGCTTCTGGGACAGAATGGCGTGGGCAAATCATCGCTGGCCTTATCTCTGGCTGGGCAGTCGGACAGATCCCTCTCTATAGACTCTGAGACACAAGCATGTGGTAATGGCCTAGACAGGGTGGAGTGTGTTTTTGTGTGCATCAGTGGTAGGACTGAAATACCCTTTTTAATCAATCTCAAGGTCCAGCTTCAGATGAATTTCATTCAGACATTTAGTGTGGAGTTAATCTGGTCACAATTCTTGGAAGATCAATGCTCATGAAGTGTTTTTCCTGATTCTGCCTTAGAATTCACCCAGTCCATCCAAACACTGATTTCAGACTGCTCAGTTTTTTCGCTTCAATGTATTTTAAAGGGGTTTGAAAACACACTTATGTGCTTTCCTGCCCAGAGTTGAGAGATGAGAAGATTGATACCACTCATATATCTGTATGCTGAATATGTAGCTGGAGCTAGCAACCTGTTAGTTTAGCTTAGCATAAAAGCTGTGTCCCAATTCAAGGGCGGCACCCATCCACCAGCTGGCAACGTACAGCAAAAATCCTTCGTAGACCAGAGCGTCTCTCATTTCGGTTCGGCCTTCGCGGTCTACGGCGTCTATGAAGGGCCACACCTTCATGGACAGCCCCTGAGTTGGGACACAGCTAAAGACCGGAAACAGGAGGAAACAGTAGCCTAGCTCTGTCCAAAGGTAAAAACCTTAACACACTGTATCTTGTCAGTTTGATACATATAAAAACCAAAGTAAATGTAAACATTTACAGCGGATTACGTACCAGATTTCTTGGCAAATTGGTCCCAGAGCTAGGCCAGCAGTTTCTTCTTGTTTCCATTATGCTAAGCTAACCACCTGCTGACTTTTGCTACATATTTAGCTCACATGTATAAGAGTGGCATCAATTGTTAGGTGGATTATCTTGTTTCTCCCTGTTTCCAGGTTCTATGCTAAGCTTAGCTAACCAGCTGCTAGCTTCATACTTAACAGACAGATGTGTGAGTGGTATCGATCTTCTGATTGAGCTCTCTGCAAAAAAAAAAAAAGAAAAAGGAAATCACCACATTTTTCTCTTTGTGTATATTTCCCTTTAATGCTGTTAAAACAGGCCTTGATCCACTCCACATACCCCCCCACCACCCCCCTTGCCTCTGGTCTGTCAGTCAGTACGCTAGGTCTGTCACACAGCTTAAAGCAACACTGGGGATAATCAGCTCTGGTCCTCAACCATCCGGCCAGCCGATCGATAAGTCAGTGTCACTAAGAGGCAACTCCTCTCCCTCACGCAGACAGCGGACTTGCCCCTGACTCATACCATACAGTATTCATTGCTGTACATGTACTACACTTGGATTCATGCATCATAAATGCACAGAAAAAGCACTTTGATCCATGTAGCTTGTACATGTTTCCATGATGGTTTTCTTACTATGCATGGGAACTTTAGCATTGTGCTAAATTATTCTACGGGCTAAATGTCGAAATCACAAAGTGTAAAAAAAAAAAACACAATTCATCACCTGTTTAACTAGCACTTTTTTGATAGTTTTGAACAGATGTTCTGGCCTCATATCAGCTGGCTGAGTGGAATAATTCCTCACCAATCAATACGTGTCTTCACCAAGTAATTACCGGTAAAAGGATTAACAACAGGAGATTTTGTTTGCTTGTACCTTAGAATAGACACGTCATTCATCATAGTGGGTTCCTTCAGGCTTTTTCAAGTAATTTTGGGGAAAGGTGTATTTTAAAAAAGCTGCCAGAAGCAAATTTCTTTAAAGGACAAGTCTGGTGGTATGCTATATATATATTTATTATTGCCAGCAAATCACATGAAAAGACCACAGCTGGACTAATTTTCCTAATAAGAACTGGCTGTGTTGTCAAAGCCTCTTCCTCTGTGTCACAGAGCTCCATTGTTGTCCAAAAACTATTAAAAATACATTAGCAAGCCACAGCTTTTACCGGGATGCCGTAAAAACTTGATATTGCACCAAATGTGTATTAATCCACCGCTGGAAATAGCCCCAAACAAATACACTATTTAATCCATCTTGAGTAACATCTGCTAAAAACCACAGTGCCCATGTGTTTTGGGAAATCGCAGAGTCTCTTTGAATGTTAAAAATATTTATCTGTGGCCACTTTCTAAAGATTTACATCTTCAGTGGGAACAAATGGATTTGGAGCTGAGAGCAATAATGTGGGGAGGAAAGTTAGCAAGTATTGAAATAGGCTAAAACATTGTTAATGTTGGGATTTTATAGTGGGCTTTGTTGACAGTAACAAAAATAAAGAATATCACCAGCCTCATGCTTTAAATTAGAGTTTAAAAATGTCAAAATGTTTGGATAAGTGTCAGAAATTGGTTGCAGTACCATTTTTCAAATATGTCAGTTGGCTTAAAAAAAACGACTTTAAACATCTTCACAAAATTGATTGAAGGTTTCTGCAGTAGCTCAAGGAAGTCGTTTAAGACGCAGATTAACTTGTCAACATTTTCAGGCAGTATTTGAGATCACTGAGATTTTACTTAAGGCACTATTATGACAGATCTATGCTCCACAATGTATACTGTCACATTTTGAGTAAATATTTTTGCTACGACATATTACCCCTCCGGTATTTACTAGGAGTGTGATACATGCTGATGTATGCTGTGGTGGTTTATATTACACTATGTGTTTGTGTGACCTGGGTATTTTCTTGCAGGTGAGGGCTATGAGTGCACAGTGACAGTTGACGACGAGGACAGCAAAGTCATAATTTTCGACAACTGGAAACAGGTGAGTCGCTGACTGTCAGCTTCACTCTCAGTCTGTCTTGTTTGTCTCGTTCAGTTTAGACTGTCTCCCTTTCCTTTCATGCTGTGTGACCTCTTTCTCCGTGAGCCTGGTTTTTGATATCCCTTGCCTTTACAAATGAAAAAAGCCATTTGTTCGTTTTCTGTGATGGGCGAATAATTTGTGTGTATTTGAGAGTCAAAAGAGTGTGTTCATACTTTCACGTGTGTGTGTGTGTGTGTGTGTGTGTGTGTGTGTGTGTGTGTGTGTGTGTGTGTGTGAGTCTGTGTGCTACACTGCACAGGGAAGCCTGCCGGAGCAGCTGTGCTCACTGTACTTGAGCTTTTTGAAGTTCTCTCATTCGGAAAAATGGAAATGACTCTTTTGTTAACCTTCACTGTTTCAATTCAAATCTACGGCAAACAAGAAAAATTTCTGTTGAGGGCTAAAATTGCTGCAGCTATGCATCATCAACCTTCTCTTCAGAGCTGCACAGTGTGAATGAGTTAATACAACCCGGAGGCGATGGTTTTTGAGCAGGAAAAACCTTTAGCTGCAGCAAGCAGCGGCAGAGAGCAGTGACAGCTTGTCAAAAAGCTCCTTGTGTTGTTCAGGACATTATGCCAAATGAAAAAGCATGCAGTCATTAATGCCCATTAATAATGATGATGAAACGGTACAGCACTCTAATTAGTGTGTAGTGTGGATCACCCCAGATGCATCCTATTCCAGATGTCCACTCTCACCCTTCGGGGACTCTCCCCTTGAGGTTAAATTATTCACACACAGCTACATTTAGCTCTGGGGAAGTCCACTGGAAGCTAACTCATTTCTTCACTTCCTCACTTTTTCTGTAAGTGTTATCCTCCCTTTCTCACCCCCAATTTTGTTGCCCTTTCTTCCTGCAGCTGTCATCATCTCAAAATCTCCTCGATGAATTCAATCTCTGTTGCCTTTTTTTTTTTTTTTTGCGCGGCACTTGCTCGCCTCTCTCCACTGGCCCTTTTCTGCCATGGTTAAATCTCGCTGAGAGTTAATTACATTTGTTATTCTGTGCGTGTTAATACAAGGCAGGCCATTAAGGCTGAAGCAACAGACGCAGGCCAGTGGGAAGCTTGGAATAACTCCAGGGCCGTCAGCAGTGGGGGAAGGCAGAGAGGACTGGACAGCGTCCCAAATCATCTGCCAATTCATGCTCATGTTTAACTGCTTTTTTTTTTTTGTGGTAATGCCCGTAAATGGAAGAGATATACTCACACACTAATACATTCTAAGCTCACAGTCTCTTACATACACAGTCAGGTGTTTAGTCAGATGTTGTCCAGCTGCCTAACACATGTCATGGCTTTCAACTGGCACAGCATTAACTGCCAGCACTCCCAGTCCCAAGAGGCAGAGCTTCTGGCCTTGGAGCAAGCTGCAAGTGTTCTCCGTGGGGCATCCTAACCTACACCCAAGTAACCATAGCAACACACACAGACAGACACACACACACACACACACAGACAGACACACACACACACACTCACGTATGCACATATGGAGCTGACTTAATCACTCACTCACGCATAAGATCATGCTAGAACAGTCAGCATCCGACGCTGTGGGGCTTCATCCGCTCTCTGGCCAGCACTGATCGGCGCCTCATCACTCCCTTCAAAACAAGATGAAAAACTGTTTCATTCACACTCAGCAATTGTTCCTTCAAGTGCTTGGTTGGCTTGACTCACAGCTGATTGACACATGAAGGTCTAGATAGAGCTATAATTTTCCCTGACTGCATTGCAGGGAGTGGTGCACAACAAACTGCAGGTATAGAGCTCAGTGTAAGGGCAGAAACACTAAAAGACTATGCTGACAGACAGGTGTGTGTGTGTGTGTGTGTGCATACACATGCAGCATGTCGTATGGTCAAACGTGTAATAAAAATAACAGCATACACACACACACACACACACGAGGCTGGAGAGTCTGCTCTGCCAGACGCTGGGATGTTGCGAGTGTTGTTGACGTCACGGGATTGGATGGTTTAAATAAGTCATCCATGAGCTCAAAATAGAAATACTGGCACACTTGGCCTTGACCTAACTGGCCCGTGCTGTCCTTCGCCTTTAGTCTGACATTGGTTGTGTAATGTATCTCTCAAACGGTCAGTTGGGTTGTGTGTGAGACTGGGGGTCAGTAAAGACCGGAGGGACCTTCCAACTCTTCTCTCTGATGTGTGTTTGTCTGTCTCAGTGTCTGTGCATTCATGCATGTCTGAATATATTCGTTGCCGAGTCAGTCTAAGTTTACATTATTATTTTATAGCTTAAAATTAAAATATTTATTAAAAACAACCGAAAGGTGCAGCCTGAGGCCGGGGTAAATGCAGGCCGGTGATGCACAGTATATGTGTGTATTTATCAGCATGCACCGCTGAGAATTTTCTGTTGCCACTGAGGGATGGATCATTTATTTTGCTAAAGTGAATTAGAGAAAAGGTCCAGGATGCAATTTGGAAGAAGGTAATTACTGCTTGACCACATTCTTTTGCTTGACTAGGAGGTAAAATAACATTGTTCTTGGAAAACAGACTGATCTTGGGCTTGCGTTCAGGGAGTTCCTTCCCTGGACATTTTTCTCTTTCCTGTTTTGCTGTATTTCTGCCTCGTAAGAGTCGTTCTGCACTATTTACGCATCATCTCATTTCTTGCCCCTAATCCACATAAGCTATAATGCTTTAACTGTTTTGTTTGTTTTAGTCTCCGCCGGGAGTCACCACTCAATTTATCTGTGTAGAAAACTCTGTGTGAACCAGAATCAAATAAAAGAAAAGCTTATTTGAAATCTCAGCTGCTGCATTGTATTTAAGGGATAAATATGAACTATCAGAATCCTATGACTGGTTTAGAAGGAGTTCTGAAGATCAGGTGGATTGCAGATAGAACCTTCTAATACTGGGAACTAACAGATATCATTCATTTTCTTGAAAACAAAACATTGTTTAGTCTTACAGACAAAAGAGTCATGATATAAGATATTTTGGCACAGAAAACATTTCAGCATGTTTTAAATTTTGACATGATATGAAAATGTTTTTTAAAATGTTTCTTTATTACCTCTGCTAATGTTTTCTCTCCACTTTCAACATTTTTTCTGTTGACTACTGTCCCTCTGTCTGTTGCTCTTCTTTTTAGCTCTTCCGGTGACTTTTCTACTTCCACATTTGATTCTACTTACATGTATGTGCCAGAACAAACTGTGTAGTCACTATTATCACTGTGTTCTGTAGTACACAAGTTATAGACAGACACAAACCCAGTTAAAAGCAAGGTATAGTTAGCATCAGATGACTATAAATAGGATCTGATGCTAATTCAGCTAGCTAGCCAGCTAGAAAACTGTTTTAGTTATTTTGTATAAGCAGTTGTAGTAGTTTTGAATGACTTGAAGCCAGCTGCAAACAATCTACTTTTTCCTCAAGTTCAAACAGTGTAAACAAGAGCAGGTCAAAAACTAGTAGCCTATATGGCAGGACCGTGTCGTAGGCTATTTGCATTCTGCCTAGTGACAGCTGGTTTCAGCCCTTTATCTGTGATCCCCTAGTGTCTGTGCTCACATACACAGTATTTTAATACAGTCAAATTTCCAGTAAAGTTGGTCTCATTTACATGTTTTTCTATTTCTGTTGTCAGACAATGGAACAAGTTTGAAATAGTGACTACACGTTATCCTGCTGTCACTGCCTAGCCATTTCCAAGCTGCTGCACTGCACTGATAAAATCCCGATGTCATAACCACAATGTCGTCACCAAATACATGAGTTAAAGACAACAGCTGTGCTGTGATTTCAGCTCTATTTACTTTTAAAATGATCACTCAGAGAGAAGGTTAGAAGCTCATTCACGTCAGCTGCAACAGAGGTGTGTCTGCGGGGAACACTCGACCTTGTGTTAGAGGGGCAATATTTGTGACCGTCTTCTACTGAATATTGTTAAGGTTTGTCCAAATAGTCACTCGATTTGTTGCAAGGTGCTTTTTTTGAAAAAAAGACCGGTAAAGCGGTCTGAAAAGTTGGTTAGGTTGGGAACAGCTTGTTTGCACTAAATCATTTTTAAAGAGCAACGACCAATGAGGAAACTGAAACACTCAACCAGACCGACCGGCACCCAATGGTGTAACCATATTACAGTCACGCTGCTTTCGGCTGACCAATGGTGTAAGTCCATCACTCACTCAACTCTATCACAGTCAGTTAGTCAGTCACTCAGTCATGGACATTTGCATTTATAGGGCCGGCCCTGCTGTTGTGGTCCAGCCAAAAATGACTCGGAGCTTAGCTGTCATTTGCTTTAGTGTCATTTAACAGTGTCAGTGTTCGTCTCAGTGTTGTGACATTTATTCTTAGTCATAAATAACATGGGCTGTGGAAATAGTGAGCTAGATGTTTAGGATGGAAGCTAGTGGTAAAAATGATCTTTTCATCAAGTTGAAACAAGATGATAAATCTTTCTTTCTCAACCAAGCTGTCATTTGTAGCAGAGTTAGTGTCATTCATCAGTGTCATGAGATTAATTCTAAACACTAATGTAATTATTAGTAGTATAAGCTGTGTAAGAAAGTTGTCTGGTGTGGTAGTTGTTGGTGTCAATCACAATGGCTTCAATCTAATCATACATATTGATTCTTCTGATTGCACAAAATGTCACGATTCATTCATATCCTTTACTCCCATTCACAAAGCGGCAAGGCAACAGGTAAAGAGGCAAAAGCTGATTGGTCCTCCTGTGTACAAGCACTGATTGACAGCTGAAACCTTGTAGAACCCTTTATTCTTTTTTTAATTATAAGGCCATTAATGAATCTACGCAAAATGTTAATAATTTAGTACAGTAGTGCCACATCAATAACTCAGTTTGGACAGAAATCAGGTAAAAGTCACAAAATGCTTTTACCCACGAGGCAATAATTCATTGCATCCTCGAGGGAAATCCTCTTACCCCCCCCCCCTCTACAGGGAG